GCATAAAGTCATAATTTCAGGGAACGGACCAGACAAGATCAGTTTAACAGAATACATCAAATCATACTTTCAGAGAACAGGACCAGACACGATAAGTTTAACAGAATACATAAGGCCATGCGTTCAGTGAAAGGACTAGACACAGTAAGTTTAACAGAATACATCAAGTCATAATTTCAGGGAACGGACCAGACATGGTAAGTTTAACAGAATATATCAAGTCATACTTTTAGGGAACGGACCAGACATGGTCAGTTTAACAGAATACATCAAGTCATAATTTCAGGGAAAGGACCAGGCACGGTAAGTTAAACAGAATACATCAAGTCATACTTGCAGGGACAGGACCGGACACGGTAAGTTTAACAGAATACACAAAGTCATACTTTCAGCGACAGGACAAGACACGGTAAGTTAATCAGAATACATCAAGTCATATTTTCAGGGAAAGGACCGGACGCGGTAAGTTAAACAGAATACATCAAGTCATACTTGCAGGGACAGGACCGGACACGGTAAGTTTAACAGAATACACAAAGTCATACTTTCAGCGACACGACCGGACACGGTAAGTTAATCAGAATACATCAAGGCATACTTTCAGGGACAGGACCAGACACGGTAAGCTTAACAGAATACATAAGGCCATGCATTCAGTGAAAGGACTAGACACGGTAAGTTTAACAGAACACATCAAGTCATACGTTCAGGGAAAGGACCGGACACAGTAAGTTTAACAGAATACATCAAGTCATACTTTTAGGGACAGGACCAAACAGAATACATCAAGTCATACTTTCAGGGAAAGGACCGGACACAGTAAGTTTAACAGAATGCATAAAGTCATAATTTCAGAGAAGAGGACCAGACACGGTAAGTTTAACATAATACATAAGGCCATGCGTTCAGTGAAAGGACTAGACACGGTAAGTTTAACAGAACACATCAAGTCATACGTTCAGGGAAAGGACCGGACACAGTAAGTTTAACAGAATGCATAAAGTCATAATTTCAGAGAAGAGGACCAGACACGGTAAGCTTAACAGAATACATAAGGCCATGCATTCAGTGAAAGGACTAGACACGGTAAGTTTAACAGAACACATCAAGACATACTTTCAGGGAAAGGACCGGACACAGTAAGTTTAACAGAATGCATAAAGTCATAATTTCAGAGAAGAGGACCAGACACGGTAAGCTTAACAGAATACATAAGGCCATGCATTCAGTGAAAGGACTAGACACGGTAAGTTTAACAGAACACATCAAGACATACTTTCAGGGAAAGGACCGGACACAGTAAGTTTAACAGAATACATCAAGTCATAATTTCAGGGAACGGACCAGACATGGTAAGTTTAACAAAATACATCAAGTCATACTTTTAGGGAACGGACCAGACACGGTCAGTTTAACAGAATACATCAAGACATAATTTCAGGGAAAGGACCAGACACGGTAAGTTAAACATAATCCATCAAGTCATACTTTCAGGGACAGGACCGACCACGGTAAGTTTAACAGAATACACACAGTCATACTTTCAGGGACAGGACCAGACACGGTAAGCTTAACAGAATGCATCAAGTCATACTTTCAGGGAGAGGACCGGACGCGGTAAGGTTAACAGAATATATCAAGTCACACTCTTAGGGAACAGACCAGACACGGTAAGTTTAACAGAATACATAAGGCCATGCGTTCAGTGAAAGGACTAGACACAGTAAGTTTAACAGAATACATCAAGTCATACTTTTAGGGAACGGACCAGACACGGTCAGTTTAACAGAATACATCAAGACATAATTTCAGGGAAAGGACCAGACACGGTAAGTTAAACAGAATACATCAAGTCATACTTTCAGGGAGAGGACCGGACGCGGTAAGGTTAACAGAATATATCAAGTCACACTCTTAGGGACCAGACCAGACACGGTAAGTTTAACAGAATACACAAGGCCATGCGTTCAGTGAAAGGACTAGACACAGTAAGTTTAACAGAATACATCAAGTCATAATTTCAGGGAACGGACCAGACATGGTAAGTTTAACAAAATACATCAAGTCATACTTTTAGGGAACGGACCAGACATGGACAGTTTAACAGAATACATCAAGTCATAATTTCAGGGAAAGGACCAGGCACGGTAAGTTAAACAGAATACATCAAGTCATACTTTCAGGGAGAGGACCGGACGCGGTAAGGTTAACAGAATATATCAAGTCACACTCTTAGGGAACAGACCAGACACGGAAAGTTTAACAGAATACATCAAGTCATAATTTCAGGGAACGAACCAGACACGGTCAGTTTAACAGAATACATCAAGACATAATTTCAGGGAAAGGACCAGACACGGGAAGTTAAACAGAATACATCAAGTCATACTTACAGGGACAGGACCGGACACGGTAAGTTTAACAGAACACACCAAGTCATACTTTCAGGGACAGGACCGGACACGGTAAGTTTAACAGAATACACAAAGTCATACTTTCAGCGACAGGACCGGACAGGGTAAGTTAATCAGAATACATCAAGTCATACTTTTAGGGAACGGACCAGACACGGTTAGTTTAACAGAATACATCAAGTCATAATTTCAGGGAACGGACCAGACAAGATCAGTTTAACAGAATACATCAAATCATACTTTCAGAGAACAGGACCAGACACGATAAGTTTAACAGAATACATAAGGCCATGCATTCAGTGAAAGGACTAGACACGGTAAGTTTAACAGAACACATCAAGTCATACGTTCAGGGAAAGGACCGGACACAGTAAGTTTAACAGAATACATCAAGTCATAATTTCAGGGAAAGGACCGGACGCGGTAAGTTAAACAGAATACATCAAGTCATACTTTCAGGGAGAGGACCGGACGCGGGAAGTTTAACAGAATATATCAAGTCACACTCTTAGGGACCAGACCAGACACGGTAAGTTTAACAGAATACATCAAGTCACACTCTTAGGGAACAGACCAGACACGGAAAGTTTAACAGAATACATCAAGTCATAATTTCAGGGAAAGGACCGGACGCGGTAAGTTTAACAAAATACATCAAGTCATACTTTTAGGGAACGGACCAGACATGGTCAGTTTAACAGAATACATCAAGTCATAATTTCAGGGAAAGGACCAGACACGGGAAGTTAAACAGAATACATCAAGTCATACTTGCAGGGACAGGACCGGACACGGTAAGTTTAACAGAACACACCAAGTCATACTTTCAGGGACAGGACCGGGCACGGTAAGTTAAACGGAAACATCAAGGACCAGACATGGTAAGTTTAACAGAATACATCAAGTCATACTTTCAGGGACAGGACCAGACACGGTAAGTTTAACAGAATGCATCAAGTCATACTTTCAGGGAGAGGACCGGACGCGGTAAGTTTAACAGAATATATCAAGTCACACTCTTAGGGAACAGACCAGACACGGTAAGTTTAACAGAATACATCAAGTCATAATTTCAGGGAAAGGACTAGACACGGTAAGTTTCATAGAATACATCAAGTCATACTTTTAGGGACAGGACCAGACACGGTAAGTTTAACAGAATACATCAAGTCATCCTTTCAGGGAAAGGACCGGACGCGGTAAGTTTAACAGAATAAATCAAGTCATACTTTCAGGGACAGGACCAGACACGGTAAGTTTAACAGAATGCATAAAGTCATACTTTCAGGGAGAGGACCGGACGCGGTAAGTTTAACAGAATACATCAAGTCACACTCTTAGGGAACAGACCAGATACGGTAAGTTTAACAGAATACATCAAGACATACCTTGAGGGACAGGACCAGACACGGTAAGTTTAACAGAATACATCAAGTCCCACTCTTAGGGAACAGACCAGATACGGTAAGGGTAAGTTTAACAGAACACACCAAGTCATACTTTCAGGGACAGGACCAGACACGGTAAGGTTAACAGAATACATCAAGACATCCCTTGAGGGACAGGACCAGACACAGTAAGTTTAACAGAATACATCAAGTCATTCTTTCAGTGAAAGGACTAGACACGGTAAGTTTCATAGAATACATCAAGTCATACTTTTAGGGACAGGACCGGACACGGTAAGTTTAACAGAAAACATCAAGTCATACTTTCAGGGACAGGACCAGACACGGTAAGTTTAACAGAACACACCAAGTCATAATCTCAGAATTAACCAGAAAGTGCAAATCTAACAAACATAAGTCCTATTTTCTGAAAAGGTACTAGACAAGGTAAGACTAACAGAACGCATCAAGTGAAACTTTCAGAGAATGGATTAGACATAGTAAGTCTAACAAAAATACACATCAAGTCTTATTATAATAAATACGTTTCGTATTCTCTTAAGCACTTATTCTCATTGGTTTATTTGTATGGTCTTTTTGCAAATGGCGATTGTTCTTTTGAGGAAAAAACATACCCCAATTAAATAAGGAAATGATTGATATTTATCTCAATTTACACACATTAGTCATTGCATTTAAAAGGAGAGGGGAAACACGTTTTCTGCAATTAACACAAATAAAACATATTGATCAATTGAAAATTATAAAATTACGAACTTCTTTATTAATTATTTATAATAATAGATATACTGGTATAATGTGATAAGATCCTTAAGATCAGGTTGGTATTCTGTTTACATTAATAAGACCAGACCTGAAAGGATGATAGACTACAAGGTTCTTGTTTTATATAATAACATAATGTTGTTCGTTTATTGCAGTATGCGTCTCGTCATCCAGGGTTGCAACAACCGATGAAAGAGGAAATATTGCCATCGGTAGGTTTGGAATCAATATTATATCTTAACTTATCGATGAGCTCCGTCTAAAAGGACCATAGTGACACAGAAGTCATTTACCACTCAAATAAAAATATTCAAATATATACATCGAAAATGTATACAACTGCAATCAAAATATACGCGTTCTAATCACACAAAGAAAAAAGTTATAGCTTTATGAATAAACTTTAAATTTAGAAACTTTCGATATTATGGACTTACCTGATATTGGGTTAATGAAAACTGAATGGTTATTATGCATGTGCTTTTGACAATATTGATATATAGATCTTTTAACATATATTTTATTTTAGGGAGACAAACGGAATATCAAATTAGCAACCCAACTATGGGATAATGGAACCGTCCGATATACCTTCTCGGCCTCAAGTAATATAAGTGAGTAACCAAGTTTCTTTCTGGGATCACATTGCCCATTCTATAGATCTTGCTTTCAGCACCGAAATATCTAATATAATTGTAACTGGTGACTTCAATGCTCCTACGTAATTTACTATATACTTTAAATCTTACCCAAAGCGTTGCCAGTCCTACTTTATTCACTGAATCGCCTTCCTCCCTCTAAGATATAATTTGCGCAAGTGATCCTTCTTTAGTAAACATGTGTCATGTCAGTGAAAATTTCCTCGATCAGCCTATTAGATATCATTGTCCCGTGTATGGCACTCATTTTGTATTCCAAATAAAAACGGTTTATTTGGAGTACATTTTTATTTTGTGTTATACCTCCATAACATCAAAAATATATTGAAGTTAATCCTTAAAAAACTTTGTATTTTTGTTATCATACATTAATAACTCTGTATTTATGTTTATCATACATTTATAACTATGTATTTATGTTTATCATACATTAATTACTTTGCATTTTTGTTTATCATAAATTAATAACTTTGTATTTATGTTTATCATACATTAATAACTATGTATTTATGTTTATCATACATTTATAACTATGTATTTATGTTTATCATACATTAATTACTTTGTATTTTTGTTTATCATAAATTAATAACTTTGTATTTATGTTTATCATACATTTATAACTCTGTAAGGTGTACAGCACTAGTACTAATCCATTGACAGGTATGACAAACCAAGAAAAGATTCGTAAGATGATGGACAAGATTGAGAAGTCAACTTGTATCACATGGGAGTATGTGCAGCCAAACTCTAAGGACTACCACGTACAAATCGTGGACGGTATAGGGTGAGACTAATATCTAAAATGAAATAACGCTACAACAAACTTCTCTGAAAGTCATTTTTATACTGTTAATCACGAATTATCCTTTTACTAGCATAAAAAAGTTGGAAGGTTAGAAAACTGCCAAGAGAAAAGTACTGTATTAAATAGTGAGCATTGTGATGCTACCCAATTGAAGTAAATGACATAAAGGAGACATAACGGTAAAATGGAGTCACACGTGAACTCGTACCAACTTATGAACATATTGGCATTCTGCCAAACTCATGTTTGATATTCAACGGAAAGTCATTGCATATTACTAGTATCAGGAAAGATTTTTGAAAGAAATATATCGATTTTCATCAAAATACAATATAAATGATGTGGTTATCAGTTTTATCACGTTAAAAGACTATCAGGCATTGGCAAGAATGGAATAATTTGGTATATGCATCGAGTAACACGGTAGCCATGTGATAAAAAATATTTTGAGTTGGTTTTATGCTTAGGGTGTTACCATTATCGTATGAAATCATATTATATTTCAGATGTTACTCACAGACCGGAAATGTCCAGTCTTACATGTCGGGTACTGGACATCAGAACATCTCCCTGGAAAAAGACGGCTGCATGGATGTAAGTTGGATCCCACCGAAGGAAATTTTAGACACAAGTGCTTAAATAATGAAAAAAAACAATGTTCCTAAATTACTTTTTTGCTTGTAAAACTAGCTGTCCTCAGTCCATCTGTGATCCCCTTTCATGTTATGAATACACTCATTTCTATTAAAGGTATAAGTAAAATGTAAAGTTAAAGATGTAATTATTGATATTATACGTCGAGGTTATATTAAACCTGAGGACGATGGAGTCGAATTAAACCTGGTTAGCTAGTATGTAATATCAATATCAGTAATGCTTGGGACTACAGTACGTCAGTCGAAAGCTATTTACATACAAGCATTCCGTCAATAGGATAATAAGGACTTCCGATTACCCTAGGTGTTTAAAACTGGGTAACTGGATTTTTTTATTGTTATCAAGAACACAACATTATTATATTATGATATGTTTTAATAACTTTAATAGCTTTAAAAACACTTTTACAACCCAATATACTATTCGTTTGTCATGTTCTTTACACAAATTTGAGCACTCGTTTCATCTGTCTGCCTATTTCGTTGTATCTGTTTGTTTTGGTCTCTTTGTCAAATACAACAATTTTGTAGGAGTATTTTTAGCCAGTTCACTATATTCATTTAATATTTACTACTCTACTGTTTTGATTCTATTAATAGAACGGCACCATTCTCCACGAGCTATGTCACACCTTGGGCCTGGAGCATGTACAGAGTCGGCCAGACCGCGATACGTACATAACTATCGATTGGGATAACGTGTTAGGCGGACAACACAACCCGAATATGGAGAAAAAACCCGATTTGGTCATGTTCAATATCCCGTTCGACCAGAGCTCTGTCATGTTGTACACGCCTTATGTAAGTCTTATGATATTGATACTCCTAAGTAATGTCCCTCTTATTACTGACAGAGTCTTTGATATACAGTGAGGGATCTGTATTTCATAACTTTAAATCACTATCCATTTAACAGATCAGTAGGAAGTTATAACATTTGCTATTTTATACTAATATCCATCTCCTACCAACACGAGGGAGACGAAAGTTGGAATCTGTTTCATAATTCAATTTCAAAATATTGCCGTTTCGTTTTGCCTCAGTTTTATATCTTTGAGTGTAATTTAAAACAAAAGAAAACAAATAAAACGAAAACTCTAGTATACGACATTCATGACTGTTAATGAAGATATTCTTTTATTAGAGTGCGTACTTGATAGCGTAATAACAAAGACATTCCTTGTAAATGACGACACAGCATTCTCAGCTAGCATTTTAACGCTTTCTCTTAAGTCGATGGCCAAACATAAAGGCACTAAGACTTACGTTTCTACGGACCCGATGCTGGATGTTCTGTCATTGGAGGATCACCAAGACCTATCCTTCTACGACAAGCTCCTCATCAACAGAGCGTACGACTGTGCAGGTAGGGTCACCACCTTTAACTGTTGAAAATAATAACAAGCTCCACATCAACAGAGCGTACGACTGTGCAGGTAGGGTCACCACACTAAAGCTAAACATAACAAACTCCTTATCAAAAGATCCTTATAAAAAACCCGGAAAACTGTAACTAAACAAAGCACCCTCAATTTTAGAGATCCTCATCACCAGAGCTTAAGACAGTGCATGCTGGTTAACTGCATATAACTGTACCTAAACATTATCTTAAATTTCTCGATAAATATATTCTAATTATTCAATCTATTTTGTAATACTAAACGCGGTTAGGGTTAGGGTTAGGGTTAGGGTAGACGACGTTTACCTTTCCGAACACTTTGTCTAATTCTCCATGTACTCTTGTCAAGGGTCTCCAAAGAAGTCTTTCCTATGTTCACATTTTGCCCTAGTTTTATCGATTTTGAGTTCGAATGAAGGGTCTCTTTATACTTGTGTATTCTCTTGTTACATTTCTAAGCAAGAATTATATTTAATATATTTGAGTCTATATGTCTATACATCCAAAAGTATAACGGGTCTATTCTCTGTTAAGCCATTGTTGACGTAGCCACAGTGTAGTTTACCTACATGTATTTATCATGCATCTTTCCCTCTGCAGGTGTTCGTGTCCTGACTATGCAAAATGTTTATTTACAACACAGAATCCGATGGAATAATCTGGATATATACATTTTGTAGGTCATTGTGACCCAAAGGATTGCAAGCATGGAGAATTCCTGAGCGAGGATTGCACATGTACCTGCCCGGATGGTCTGACTGGAGAGCTGTGTGAATCTGTTATACAGGAAGGTTTGTACACCACCGTTTACTCCACTATTTTATCAAAAGATGTTATTCCAGTTGAATATCTTTTTATGTGTTTTTCTCTTAATCGTTCGTTTTCTGACACATCTATCGAATGCTTGTTGCTGCACTCTGCCATTTGAACAAGTTTGGAATGTTTCATTAGGTCATAGAAAAACAAATAATTGGGAAATACAATGTTGATCATGATTTTATTTTTTTAAAGGGCTTTCTAAAATACTATCCGATTTTCATTTGAATAATGGCACTTTCATGATTTATTTCCAAATATCTGACTTGAAGACGAACTACTGCAAAACGTGTTAACGGTATGCATTGTTGTGAAAAAAAAGAAAATGAATTTTACTTTAGTTTCAGTTTAAAATATTTTTTTGAAGAACTAATTTCGGTTTTGCTCTAATTACATACTTCTAAATCAAATTTTCATATTTACAGTATAAATAAATGTTACCTAAATGACATATGAAGTATCTTTTTACACATGTCTATTTAATGGGTGCCACATGTGGTACCGGAACCTGGATACCTGTACCTTGTTTATTGCTTACCCACCAGGAATATCTGTACCTTGTTAAACGCTTACCCACCAGGAATACCTGTACCTTGTTAAACGCTTACCCACCAGGAATACCTGTACCTTGTTAAACGCTTACCCTCCCGGTATACTTGTACCTTCTTAAACGCTTACCCACCAGGAACACCTTTACCTTGTTAAACGCTTACCCATCAGGAATACCTGAACCTTGTTAAACGCTTACCCACCAGGAATACCTGTACCGTGTTAAACGCTTACCCACCAAGAATACCTGTACCTTGTTAAATGCTTACCCACCAGGAATACATGTACCTTGTTAAATGCTTACCCACCAGCAATACCTGTACCTTGTTAAACGCTTACCCACCAGGAATACCTGTACCTTGTTAAATGCTTACCCTCCCGGTATACCTGTGCCTAATCAAACGCGTACCCTCCCTGGATACCTGTACCTGGGTAAACACTTACCCTCCAAGGATACCTGTACATTGTTAAACACTAACCCTCCCTGGATACCTGTTCCTGGTCAAACACTTGACTTTCCAGGAACCCTTGATCTGGTTAAAGGTTTACTCTTCTGGGATACCTGTAGCTTGTTAAACGCTTACCATCCCGAGATAACTGTGCCTGATTTATCGCTTTCCCTCCCGAGTTAGCCTACCTGTACCTTGTCAAACACTTACCCTCCTGAAGTATCTGTACCTGGTTCAACGCCTATCCCCCCGGAAAACCTGGACCTAGTTAAACGCTTATCCTCCCGGAAAACCTGTTCCTGGTTAAACGCTTACCCTCCCGGAAAACCTGTTCCTGGTTAAACGCTTTCCCTTCCGGGATACATGGACCTTATTAAACGCTTACCATCCCGGGATATCTGTACCTTGTTAAACGCGTATCCTCCAAGAATGTACCTAGATGAACGCTTACGTTCTCGAAATATCTGTAGCTTTATAAACACTTTCCCTCCCGGGACACCTGTATCTGGTTAAACGCTTACCTTTCCGGGATACCTTTAGCTAGTTTAACGCTTACCCTCCTGTGATACCTGTACCTGGTTTTACAGAACGCTTCTTGTGTGTGGGAGGAAAAGGGGACGGGGTGGGCACTAATGACTTTCCGTTTGTTCGTTCAAACCACAGTTCCAGTTCCTGTCTCTGTTTAGTCCATTTTTATTGACACTTAAATATTCTCTTTTCTATTTATAATTCCTGTTACATAAATTGAGTATTGTATTTTTGCATTCAGGAAACTGTACCGATCAAGACCACAAAGTTGTGATTGGATCTATCGGCGAGACTATTACTGTGAAGTCGAGTGGATACCCGAACAGTTACCCTACCGGATCGAAATGTCGCTGGCTTGTTCAGGTAACGACATAGGTACCTCCAGTTAGTCTGGTGTCGCCCTAACCCCATCTGGTTAGCCCGTTATCGCCCTAGGTAAATCTGGCCCCGAGATCATGACACTATCTTTAGTCTGAAATAGTCTTACGTTTGGACTTGACCAACTACAATTAACGTCATAAAAAGTGACGCTATGCGTGATTTGCAAAGCAAACGCTTAAGACTAAAAATGTTTCATGATCCTGGGCTCAGCTGGTTTTCCCGTTGTCGCCCTAGTTACGTCTGGTTAGTCTGTTGTCGCCCTAGACGACCCTGATTAGCCCAATGTCGCCCTAGACACGTCTGGTTGGTCTGTTGTGATTTCAAGGCACCTTTGGTTACCCCGTTGTTGCTCTATGCGCCTCTGGTTAGTCATTTGCAGCCAAATGTTACTCTGGTTAGCCCAAGGTCTCCCGAGGCGTTTCTGGTAAGACAGTTGTCTCCTTAGGTACCTCTGGTTAGACAGTTGCCTCCCGAGGTGCCTCTGGTTAGTCAGTTGTCTCCCTAGGTGCCTCTGGTTAGTCCGCTGTCTCCCGAAGTGCCTCTGGTTAGACAGTTGTCTCCCTAGATAACTCCGGTTGGTCAGTTGTCTACCTAGGTAACTCTGGTTAGTCATTTGTCTCCCTAGGTGCCTCTGGTTAGTTAGTTGTCTCCCTAGGTACCGCTGGTTAATCAGTTGTCTCCTGAGGTTCCTCTGGTTAGTCAGTTGTCTCCCTAGGTGCCTCTTATTGGTCAGTTGTCTAACTGAGTCCCTCTGGTTAGTCAGTTGTCTCTCTAGGTGCCTCTGGTTAGACAGTTGTCTACCTAGGTACCTCTGGTTAGTCTGTTGTCTTCCGAGGTGCCTCTGGTTAGTCAGTTGTCTCCCGATGTGCCTCTGGTTAGTCAGTTGTCTCTCTAGGTGCCTCTTGTTAGTTAGTTGTCTCCCTAGGTACCGCTAGTTAGTTCTTTGTCTCCCTATGTGCCTCTGGTTAGACAGTTGTCTCCCGAGGTGCTTCTGGTTAGTCAGTTGTCTCCCGATGTGAATATGGTTAGTCAGTTGTCTCCCTAGGTGCCTCTGGTTAGTCAGTTGTCTCCCGATGTGCCTCTTGTTAGTTAGTTGTCTCCCTAGGTACCGCTAGTTAGTTCTTTGTCTCCCTATGTGCCTCTGGTTAGACAGTTGTCTCCCGAGGTGCTTCTGGTTAGTCAGTTGTCTCCCGATGTGAATATGGTTAGTCAGTTGTCTCCCTAGGTGCCTCTGGTTAGTCAGTTGTCTTCCGATGTGCCTCTTGTTAGTTAGTTGTCTCCCTAGGTACCGTTAGTTAGTCATTTGTATGCCTATGTGCCTCTGGTTAGTCAGTTGTCTCTCTAGGTGCCTCTGGTTAGTCAGTTGTCTCCCTATGTGCCACTTGTTAGACAGCTATCTCCCGAGGTGCCTCTGGTTAGTCAGTTGTCTCCTTAGGTACCGTTAGTATGTCAGTTGTTTACCTATGTATCGCTAGTTAGTCAGTTGTCTCCCTATGTGCCTCTTGTTAGACAGTTGTCTCCCGAGGTGCCGTTAGTTAGTCAGTTGTCTCCCTAGGTGCCTCTGGTTAGTTAGTTGTCTCCCTAGGTGCCTTTGGTTAGTCATTTGTCTCCCTAGGTACCTCTGGTTAGCACATCGTTGCCCTTGGCACATATGTTATGATGTTCAGAATAATCTGACCATATTCGTCGTCATATGACCTGGATGTTTTATATCGTATGTACTCTAAAGCATTAACATACGTGTGGAAGGAAACTAATGTCATCTGAATTGATCCATATTATCATATTGTAACTATGGCAATTGTTAATGACATCCTAATGACAGTAAACATATCAGCCACTACTTTTAATCAGCTCAGATGATTAATTAATAATAAGATATCAGTTTAATTAAATGTTATGCAGTGTAAAATATTTGATGTGGAATTCATCATACAGGGAGAACGTGTTTTTGAAAATTAATCTACAGCTGTACTATGAATAATGATTTCTTTCGTTCTCAACACAGGGGCCGAAGGGAAGCAAGCTGCGTGTGACCATGCTGGACATGGATATCGCATCGGCCGGTGGTCCTGACGACAGTTACTGTCTTCACTCAATGGAGCTTCGCTACAACCTCATAGCACAGCCAGGTCCCGAGTAAGTCGTCCAAACACCGGATAATTAAATACCACAGACTGGTCAAGGTTAATTTCTCCTGATCAGGGTTACTTAATTATCAGAACCTGGTCCACAGGAGGACCACCTGGGCAGGCCTTCTTCATTACAATATCTTTCTGCTCACTTTTTCTTGATAACCACATTTATATAAAAAAACCAACCCTTTGGCTATTTACCGCGGTCCCGCCTAGATCCTCCTGATCAGCGCAATGCTCATACCAGAGCATGAGCCATAGGAAATCCTGCAGAGTATGGCGACTAAATTATAAAAGCTCATTTCCAAGATAGTCCACCAGATGAGGACAACTTAATAAACATAGCTAGTTTGTTAGGATTACCATAGTATCGTCTTTAGTACATCCTACTTATAAAGACTGCTTTATTACCACAGCCTTGTCCTCAGTAAAACATTCATATTAAGGCTAGAAACGACAGTCTGTTCCCGGGTAAGTCTATCTGTTTGATGGTTCTTACCTACCACAGATCGTGTCCTTAATTATCACAGTGTGGTCGTGGGCAAATCCTCCTACTGCAAATGGGCTGCTTCATTTCCAGGCGAACACTGGTCGATGTGTTACTTCGACCAAGATCTAGTCAATGACTTTTATATCTTAAGGAAACAATAATGAAAACGACATGACCTCTATTACTTAGGATTTTGTAGAGACAATGAAGACAGGGTAATTTGCTTATGTTTGTATACGCCCGTCGTCCGACGGGTCGTATTATGGTATGGGCTGCGTTAATTGACTGATGTGCGCCCATCCATCCGTTAATTTTTCCTTGTCATCGCTCTACTGTTTTCATTCATGAACATATCTTGATAAAACTTGGTACACATATTGCATACCAATATAGCTCAAACGAGTTCGCATTTCAGAGTTATGCCCCTTTTTCATTGCCAGATAAGGACATTCCGTCGAAAATGCAAGATTTTTTTCATTATTTGTTCAAGACTCTTACCTCAAAGCCAAGGTTCTACTTTATGTAACAGCAACGTTGACCACGAATGTGTAATTCTAAAACACAAAATAGCGTGCGCCATAAACACAGTAAATGAATGGCAACGTCACAGTCACAGTCTGACGGGCGGATCATGCTTCCGCTCGCGGTGCTCTTGTTAGGTTTTGTTGGAACAATAAAGAAAAGGCCATGACCTTCATATATCAAGGTGTTGTGGAGACACTAAGAAAGGTTAATGTTCTGATATTTTTAGGTTTTGTGGAAACAATGACGGAAAGGTCATGACCTTTGAGACAGCTGATTATTCGGAGGCCAACACCATGATACTGAGTTTTGATACGACAAACAAAGCGTCATCTGATGGCCACAAGGGCTTCAAACTCAACTTCACAGCAATCCAAGGCAATGACGGTACGTCTAGATAAATCTTAATGGTAGTCAAAGGTAATGACGGTACGTTTAATTAAATAAATATTCACGGCAGTCCAAGGCAATGACGGTACGTTTAATTAAATAAATCTTAACGGAAGTCCAAGGCAATGACGGTACGTTTAATTAAATAAATATTCACGGCAGTCCAAGGCAATGAGGGTACGTTTAATTTAATAAATATTCACGGCAATCCAAGGCAATGACGGTACGTTTAATAAAATAAATATTCACGGCAGTCCAAGGCAATGACGGTACGTTTAATTAAGTAAATATTCACAGCAATCCAAGGCAATGACGGTACGTTTAATTAAATAAATATTCACGGCAGTCCAAGGCAATGACGGTACGTTTAATTAAATAAATCTTCACGGCAGTCCAAGGCAATGAGGATACGTTTAATTAAATACATCTTCACCGCAGTCCAAGGCAATGACGGTACGTTTAATTAAATAAATAATCACGGCAGTCCAAGGCAATGCCGGTACGTTTAATTTAATAAATATTCACGGCAATCCAAGGCAATGACGGTACGTTTAATAAAATAAATATTCACGGCAGTCCAAGGCAATGACGGTACGTTTAATTAAATAAATCTTCACGGCAGTCCAAGGCAATGAGGATACATTTAATTAAATACATCTTCACGGCAGTCCAAGGCAATGACGGTACGTTTAATTAAGTAAATCTTCACGGCAATCCAAGGCAATGCCGGTACGTTTAATTAAATAAATCTTAACGGCAATCCAAGGCAATGCCGGTACGTTTAATTAAATAAATATTCACGGCAGTCCAAAGCAATGACGGTACGTTTAAATCAATTTTCACGGCAATCCAAGGCAATGACGTTGTGCGTTATAAATTTTGTGTCGGCAAAAGGAAGTATTTTAATGCTTAAGCCAGTATTTATCCTCAGCGAAAATCAAAATCAAAATCAAACAGCGTTTCAATATGTCTGGTACCTTCAGCATTTAACTGTTACCTTACCACTAATCAATGTGCAGTGTAATATGGCTTATAGGAACATGATCCCAATACAATACTGAACCCCATATCGTCACTTTTGATTTCAGACACTAAAGCAGCTAATTTCTGTAAGGATTCCGTGTGTAAGAACGGAGGCACCTGTAAATTCAACGACAACAGTTACTGGTGTGACTGTGTGTCCGGATTCCGGGGACGGAATTGTGATCATGGGTCTGACCAAAATGACCAGAGTGACCAGAACACAGGTATACACATTTCTCATTGCAGGTGATCCGCAATACCTGTAGTAATTGGTTTTATATACAAAGTGTTTTACATTTATATTGTATACTGTTTCGATACATTAAAAGTTTGAAAAATGACGTAGTAAGGTGAAGGGCACCATATTTTTACAAATGTCACGACATTAAAAGATTCGTTAAATACCTTTTCAAAAGAAATATTTCATAAAAATCACATGTTGTCATGCATTATACAAAATTGCAGTTGCTTGAAATTTGATGCTTGAAAAACAGAAAAAGAAAGAAAAAGAAAAGAAAATGCAGGGACTACCTGGGGTGCTTAACATAACAAAGCTTACAATTTATCAGTGTTAACGTATAGGAATAATACAAGAACAGTATCCAAATGAGTGTCCAATTTATTGACTAAAAATCATATAATCGTGACACGGGAAGTAACTCGGAGTTGTGGTTACTTCATCTTCGATCTACACGTCGAATGGGAAAATCTGTACTCCAAGTCAATAACAAATCTGGATGGACGTCTTTATCGCAATTAACTAGACGCTGTGGTACCCTTTACATCAATTAAGTCACTAACGATGATTAGCATGCCTATGGGTATACGAATGACTGTAGAACTGGGCAACAGTTTGTTTGTGTCTTAGCCAACAGATTAACGAATGATTGTAAAAACTGGACAATAGTTTGGTTGTGTCGTAGACAATGGGTATACGAATGATTATAAAAACTGGGCAATGGCTTGTTTATGTCTTAGTCAATGGATATAGGAATGATTGGCAAAACTGGGCAAAAGTTTGTTTTTTGGTTAAGCCAATGGATATACGAATGATTAGCAAAACTGGGCAAAAGTTTTTGTTTTTTGGTTTAGCCAATGGATACACGAATGATTAGCAAAACTGGGGAATTTTTTTTGTTTTTTGTTTAGCCAATGGATATACGAATGATAAGCAAAACTGGGGATTTTTTTATTTTTTTTTTGGTTTAGCCAATGGATTTACGAATAGGTGTAAAATCTAGGAAATAGCGTATTTAGCCAATGGATATACGAACTATTGGCAAAACTGTGAGATAGTTTATTTTTTGGTTTATAGCCAATGCGTATACTTGGCAATATTTTGTTTTTGTCCATAACGCTAAACCGTTTTCAACACAAGGTTATTTATCTAGATCAGACGTATGAAACATGGTTTACTGATTCATATTGGCTATTTCGATAACGTTTTCTAAAGCCATTCACATAATGAACCTCGCAGTATTTACAGGTCGTATCATTTTATGTTTAAAGTTCATATTTAGCCGCAATAAGTTTGAAACATACAAATGAGATTAGCATAGTATTGGAATATAATGCCATTGTTAATTTCAGTTTTCCTTTGTGACAATACTGACACCGGTGAATGCAACCAATTTGATTTGGGGACTGCATGGGAAATAGACGACAATGGTCATTTTGTGGTCAAATCAGGACAACAGGTAGGTTTTTACGAGCATAAAATATAAATCACTTAATGTCCATGCATTGTTGGATTAAATATCCTTCAAAACGTTCATTAAGACACAACTCAATGATCAGGAATTAGTCTTCCGGATAGCTTGGGTCCCGAGAGCAATCCTACATAATCTCATTCATAACTGTATTCAGCATACTATTGTCATCATCTCACCCTGCTAACTAGGTTTCTGAAACTTATTAAAAAGACTTTTTATGAATACAACTATAATGAATGTCATGAAGCATGTGCTACAATACAGTAGTATCAATTGCTTTTTATTCAGAGATATGGGGAAAGAGAATGACGGAAAAGGACTTTCGTCAAATATTTCACGAGAAATGGCATGAAGCCTCGGAAACAGTTTGCTCTTATTCGACTAGAAAAGATTGCGGGCCTTGTTTAATTCAGTTCAAAACTGACATTCGGTTCATCATTCCCCGAGAACCAGCGGAAATGTGACTTTTGAATAATCTCAAGTTACTGCTAAAAATTACTTGTTTCTGGGTCAATTTTGTTGAATCTCCCTATCAAAGAATAACATTTACATTGGTAGCAAATTTTATTTCATAAGTAAATTTGTGAACCACTTTGAGACGACCTACACACTAGGTTGTGATAGAGCAGTATATAAGAACCTCGAATTATTATTATTATCATTAAAAGAGCAAGAGGTTTTACATGTACACATATTTCAGCTTAACGGTCATCTTCCTCATATGCCATGTATACAAAAGCAATCATGCTGCACAACACGGCAGGTACAACCGAACTACTTCATTCCTATTCATACGCAGATAAATTATAATATTCGAAAATAGAATATGGAAAGGTGAATTCGGATTAAAATTGATTTTACTTTTATTAATATAGGACTATATATAGCACGATTGATGTTTAAATGATCATTACAGCAGTTTAGATAGATTGTTACAGTTTGCACCTATTTTTGACTATAAAATATATACGGAGTCAAGTCACTGAGCGAATTCCAGGTAGTCATGCTGTACCACTGAATCATGAAGTAAACTCAAATTCGGCTCAATTGTAAATAGAGAGCAACAAAAATCTGAAAACACTTTTTAATCCTCTACCAATTAATATCCTATCCAGATATGACCTGATAAAGTCGATAGGACGAAATCTATTCATAAAAGTATATAGAATATGGTCGATTTTTTACCTCAAAATATTTTTCAGGGTAACGTGGAACTTCAGATTCCTTATACCATCACCCATCTGAACAATCAGTACTGCCTTCACGTCAAGATGAGCCGACTTAGCTCAACACAGCAAGAGACATGTTCCCAGCTAAACTTCTTCGTCAAAAAAGAGATGGAAATATCCGGTTTCCACTTTGTTTATGACGATCTGCTGTGGATTGACCATGACTGTACTGCAAGGTCTGACGACAGCTTTGTGATCGGGTTTACGTCACAGCACACGATTACAGAGGTGAGATATGGAATCTGTCAGAGCTACTTCTCTGTATTAGCGGTTTGATTTTCCTGTCAGAGTAACTCTCCATTATTAGGGGTATGTTTATCCTGTCATAGTTACTTCCCCTTATTAGCGGTATGAGTATCCTGTCAGAGTTACTTCCCCTTATTAGCGGAATGATTATCCTGTCATAGTTACTTCCCTTTATTAGCGTATGATTATCCTGTCAGAGTTGCTCCTCTGTATTAGCGGTATGATTATTCTGTTAGAGTTACTCCCCCTTATTAGCGGTTTGATTATTCTGTTAGAGTTACTCCCACTTATTAGCGGTTTGATTATTCTGTTAGAGCTACTCCCCCTTATTAGCGGTTTGATTATTCCGTTAGAAGTACTCCCCCTTATTAGCGGTTTGATTATTCAGTTAGAGCTACTCCCCCTTATTAGCGGTTTGATTATTCTGTTAGAGTAAACCAATACTGGGACATAAAAGCGACCAAAATAAATGTACTGCATCCATTGCAATATTTGGGATCTTTTGGTTTTACAGTTAAACACTCCCCATGCAGGTGAGGAAGGCAATTGGTTCTGTCCCGGGTCGGGTCATACCAAAGCCCTTAAAATAGTAGCTGTTATTCCTTGCTTAACGTTCTTAGGGGAATGGCAACAACCCTAACTGACTTTGGCTGTTAATATAACGTTGAACAAAATAAAACCAAACCAATCCTAACTCCCCGTTATTAGCAGTACGATGATTCTATTAGAGTTACTCCCCGTTAATAGTAGTACATTTCTATAATAAACATTGCACAGTATGTATACATATGTGATATATTCTAAAACTGCGGGCAAAAACATAATAGGTGTGAACACTCTAGCGTCATAATATACGGGAAAATGGATTCTGGTTATATGCTGAGCGGAACCAGAGTTGTTTTGCACACATATACTTCATATATAGTGGGAGAGGGACAAAAGCTTTAATTCGTAGTTGTAATTATTTGATATTTCATTCTGTTAACCTTTAGTGCCACTTATTAGTCCTTAATAGACAAAATGGACATAGGGTGAAAAAAGTTGGCTTTTTTCGTATGCAAGTTTTTTTCGTGTTTCTAATAAATATTTTCCTTACAGGTTATTGAAATTCCTGAAATCCTTTAATACTATCATTGTTGACATAATGCAGAACAAAGTGTCTTTATCAGAAAGAATAGGTTATATGTACACAAATAAATTGAAACACACAAGAACAAAAATATAATACATCTACAGTATTGTTGTGCCAATCACGTGTTAAGCAAAATAAAAAAAACCATATATTTCACAAAGAGGAAATGAGTATGAGTACAAAGAGTTTCTTCTCAGTAATTATGATTTGAAAGAATTTCTTTCTTTTCATTTTTTGAAACAAATCTATAATCACAATTGCATCAGTAACCTGGAATTTGAACGATCGTATTTTGTGCTCATTTGCAGATGAAGTTCCAAATGGACATCACTGCCACCGAAGATGCTAATATTGCTCTGAGTGATTTCCGTCTCGAGAAAGCTGCTTGTTCAACACCATGACTGGGTACTACAGCATCAGTCCGACACATATATTGAAATGAACTGAAATAAACGAAACCCAAAAGTGATAAGACGGTGATACAGCGGATACAATCATTCATACTGCATCTTCACTATTTTTTTAAAGTTTGATTTTATACGTATTTGTAGCAAGCATATTGCAACCACAATAGAACGGTCATTTTAATATTCGTAAACAAACCGATGTACACAAAATAATATAGCCTTTTGTCCATTGAGACGGCCAATAAAGACCACAGTTAGATGACTAGAAATTGTTATCAACAACAACCAGATTGAATGTATCCCCTTGAGTAGTAACACATGTCGTAATACACACACTTAAGTCTTTTTTTCATTCGAAACTGTCGAGTACTTCTGAACCTTTGAAATTCTTATTACAAAGGGGTTTACGCACATCTCCTTCTGGGTTTTTTTCATCTTTACGGAGCTAGGTATCGCCGATGAGTCATAGAAGAACGAAACGGCTGTATGGTGCAATGCATTTTGTTTTTGGCATACTGTACCTGTACTAAATTTTATGTGCCATCAGGTGTGTGCCTCACGTTTATCTGATCATTTATTTTCACCCTGTATTCCGTGTTTGCGTATTGCAGAGTTATCTTCTCTTGGGAACAGGTATTGATTGTTACGTCATTGGTTTGTGTGAGGAAATTACGTCGTTTTCTCAAACATTAATGACGTTACTCTCACAAACAAGTGACGTAACAATCAATACCTGCTCCCAAGAGAAGATAACTCTGCAATATGCAAAGACAGAATACGTACACATGTATTAGATTTACGAGTAGTTAAAATCATAATTCACCAAGTAATGTTTCATAAGTTATAAATCAAATCAGACACAGAATGTATTTGGATTGAACTGATCACTTGAAGACAAAAATACATATATATTTCCAAATAGTTTTTTAAATTCGATTTGTGAAAATTTGCATTACCACCTTTTAAATTTCATCAGGTTATGAATTTTATAGCCCATAAATAACACACATCTATTAAAAGTGGTAGTTTTTATCTTTTAATCAGTCTCTGTAAACAGGCTTGGCAGGTTTCGATACTTACTCAATTTGATTTTAGGATTTATTTGAGAGAGTCTGTGATAAGGGTAACATACGAAGGGAGACAACACTACTATGTTTGTTCAAATTTACTTGCTTTCAGGGGAAAACATGAAATAGTATGCTTATTTGGAGCAGATACAAATGAAACTTTTTAAGAATTTAAACACTATATATTTGAGCAATGGATAAAGAAAAAGAAAGACTGAACATTCTTTTTCACCAGCATGTTAAACAGTTTTGTAGAAAACATGGAGTGGTGAGTTATGGGTATTAAGAGAAAGTTATATAAATGAATGGTTAGATATATTTAGAAATTAAAAGGTGAGTAGTGTTGATAACAAAATATTAAATGGTTACAGCTATTATAAGACAAGGGTGTAAAAACAGTTAATACTTCACCAAATATATATTACATAGATTTCCATATAATAGACCTAATATACATACCAGATCAACTAAAATAAAAGGAAATATTATTTGTGTGAAGAGGAACTCCGTTTTATCCCAAATGTCCTTCGTAGATTGATCATTTTGTTTAATGATCCAAAATATTGTATAAAAATATTGTTTTGTAATTAAGAACTATTTGAAATACTAATGAAAAGTATATTTAATCAGCAGATATTTTGTGGACTTAACACATTTATTTGTATGTTTTGTACTACTGTGTTATAACTATGTGTATGCATTATAACTATTTGTATGCATTATAACTATTTGTATGCATTATAATTTATGCATTATAACTATTTGTATGCTTTATAACTATTTGTATGCTTTATAACTATTTGTATGCATTATAACTCTATTTTTAGTACTTTCTGATTGTTCCCTCTACCTTCACAAGTAAAATATTGAAAGATTGAATTCTTGTCTCCTTAGTGGACAACCTAAACAATATTTAACCAACCGAATATCTCAACTTTACGAAACATTTAAATCAATGTTAATAAGATGAATATATAAATCTCAAAACTGGGGAACATTAAAAGCATGAGTAACTAAATAGGGAATCTCTCTGACCTTGGGAACCCATCTAGCAATATTAAATCGATGGGGAATCTCAAAGTTCAGTTAAACCATAAGACGGAAGATGTGTAAGACTAGTGGTATATCGCATTGTTAATGAATACTATCATATTCTCCCTTTTAATCGTTTTTTTTATACAAATAATTGAATGTAAAACGCAATTTTATAAGAAAAATACCCATTTACAAGCTTTAACAATAAAAAGAAGAAGGATACCTAAGTGTCAACAAAATCATAATTCGAACAATAGATTATTGACCTATAACTTATCATGTTGTTTCACTAACTAATGAATGAGAAACGTATATGTTTAATCTGACTATTAATCAAACGTATCTGATGTAATCGACCGAGTGTCAAGTATGTAACGTCATTATTTCCATTCAAAATAAATCACTTAAAAATCATTGTTTTGAACAAAGAATTGCCCCGTCTTACTTTATAAACACAATTCATGAATGATATGTATGTCGATTTTTTGTGATTTTTATGAAAATCTTCCAAAGCCATAACACTTTTATTTTTTGCTTACAATAGCTTTCTAATGTCACTTTTAAAATCAATCTATTATACAATGTATAATTATTTTGTGTTTTGCAGATTATTCAAAGAGATGGCGACGTCTCTTTTTACAAATAATACTAATGTCGTGATATTTTTGATGCAATATCCTCTAAGTAATATTAATGTGTTTTATATGTTTGTAATAGGATTTTATTCGTCATTTAACTTGAAGGCATTTGACATGCAACATCTATTATTAATAAAAGTTTTGTTTATCTTTTGTTTTGTTGCTTGTATTTGGTGACTGTATTGTTTTACACTCGACAGAAGTTCAATTTATTGCATTTCTACTTCATCAATTCAGACTAGACCGTGACCAAATCTCGTGACGTCGTCAAGAACACATGTGGGCAATATTTTCAACAATATGTTTCCAATTTGTGTATTTTAGGCTGTTTTTTTTATCGAATTGGCATCACATCATAATTAATTAAAAGATAAAATATACAGCAATCATTAAAGATATATGAAGTTTGTAAATTAAATATGCACACAATGTATAATAGACTTAATCTATTATAAGCAGGCGTAATCGTTCATGACTTAGCATTGCTTAACTTGATTATGTGTGTGTGTGTTTTATCTATCTCATACTTCTGAAACTTACACATGTCGAGATTGTATTGAACAAAACATGCACTATGCAGTGATTACAACAAAGTTCAGTCACGAACTTTATTACTTTGAGCTGAACATCTCATCAGTTTGCAATACAATGAAAACAATGTACAGTGCAAACAGGACATATATAGACACACAGTACGATATGAACACAAATTACAATGATGGTAAATGGTCGGGTGTTGAAGTTGATAGCGTACTGGCCTTTGAATATAACAAAAACCTGGGCTCCGTCCTCCAATTAAACGTCTAAAGGTGCGGCCCATCTACTCGATTACATGGGTTTTTCTCCGGGAACTCTAGTGTCCTCCCACTTCAGATCCTTAACAGGTGTCCATCCGGGCAGGTAAAAGTGATTACTATCAGTTCATAACCATATAGGTGTAATTCCTGTAAAATAAATGAAGATTGCCTTAATAACAATGTAGCGTATCACCTGTAAATTCCACTTGTGTTCTCCGCTATAAACTATCAACACCAGTCGGAAACAAGACCAGAACAGTGTGTAAAACGTGAAAAAACTGTCTACAAATGTAACAGTTAGTCACTCGCAAGTATGGCCGAGTTTTTACTTCCGTTTTTTTTTTCTTTAACATTGATGTGAGAACAGAAATATATAAACGAGATAATGTATTTGTGAGCAAGATATGGCAATCATTGGAGGTTGCAGCAAAGAAAAGAGATCACATATGGACAAATCACCTTTGCATCGCCAATAAGAAGTGGGTTTCGGATTACAAGGGAGAAAGGAGAACTGGTTTTTACAGTTCAACAGCAAAGTGGCTGGGTAAAGTGGATGCTTTGGCGAGAAAAGAACATGTAGGCGAAGACAGATGGAGGGAAGAAACTGTTATATGATTAATTCATCGATGTCATCTTACAGACGCTGATCATTACACTAGTCTCTACCAAGTCAAGTAATGGTAAAGTAATATGTGTGTTGTTTGTTCAAGTCCTGGTATAGACAATTGCTTAGAATTTCTTGAATCGATCATTTTTGATATAAAATTGTGAAAAACACATCAGAGCATACAAATAATGAATATAATAAAAAATGTCCATGTTAGGAAACTCCTAGCACTGTTTTTAGCACTGTGGGCCATGGAGATTATATCTTGACGAGTTGAGCATGCTTTAGCGACGAGGTCAAAGATAAGACATTGTAAGTTTAGGACTTCAATTGGTCAACTGTAGAACATGCACAGACTTCCATAATCATAATATTAAATCCGGTGTGAACAAAGTAAGCAATGCATGCGGCGGTTTTACGTGAGTATTATAGTAAAATCCCATTACATTACCACTCGTTCAATCATAACAATCCTGCTAGCAGATATGGTTATTCATTGTCGATTTCCACTTTTCTTCCCAAACAATATGCATGTATTTACAATCGCTTGGCATTGCCACTATATGACTTTACCAAATTCATCTGGCATTCATATCGGCTATAAATGCCATGGACATATTGTCCATCAGTATCATGACGTCGTAATTGTTACGTTGGATACCACTGACCCTTAGCAAAGGCTGTTCTATTTATTGAATACATACAAGCATACACGATACATACATTATTTGAACTAACTGCTCAATAACAATAAGTGTAATTGAGTTTTCGAAAGGGTGAACAGAATAAAAAAAAATGGTAAATATAAAAACTGAACTGTTTTCAGTTGACATTCATAGGCAATATGAAATTAAACTGAATAAAGGGGCAAATCCAACATGAAGCGCTATCGTGCTTCACTGAATTTGCTTTGTCCAGTTGGATTCATATTGCCTATAAATGCCAACTGAAAGCTGTTCAATGCTAAAATAAACATATTCAGACACATTAACTTATTTCAACGTCGAAATCTGTAGAACACGCCATGTACGAACAATGAGGTCCTTACTGGTCAGCATTGTTTTATGAACCATGCCTGTTCGTCTGATCTATTTGGAAAAGTCTCGTGAGAATCATACGGTTTGCTAGTTCGTGGAGATAATTGCTCTCCCTCGTGTTTTAAGATAGTTCCATAACTTAAGACAAACATGTTTTCTCACCGTAAGCAATCCTCTCCTTCACAAAAGATAAACCTTGATTGTTTTTTGATTTTCATAATTTTCGTTTCCTATTTATTTCAATTTTTCAGAATCAAAGTGCGTGCTGATAATTTTACTGAGCGTGATTGTTTCAGGTAAGATGCTACCATTATTGCTACCATAATGAATATTGTGAATATGCTCTCAAACGTGTCTTTTCTAGCATAAAAATATTTTTTTATTGATCCAGATGTAACCATCGACATTAAAGCAGTCTAAGGGCCTGTTTCCAGTAATGTTAATTCTCCATAGGAGCCTGCCCCCGTATAATTTCTTATCTAGCTCAACTACTGTTTTTTTTTTTTGTTCCGAAGAATAATTTTACACCTTTCCGACACCCAGATTTCATAATTTCAGTGAAAATGTATTTTTATAAAGTTGTCAATTTCAGCATCAAAGACATAAGTTCGTAAATAAAAGAAGGTTATCTCTAAATTGTAATTCGCAACATAGTATAAATTTCTTTTGATAAATATTTCCAAAACATCGTGTTTTTTCATAAAACATCAAAAAAATATTTCTCGGATGAAAATGCACTTGCATAGACACAATTATGAAGAAAAATGCCATAAAATTGCAATTTTCTCCCGTTATATAGTTTTGGATGCAAATTTCCATCAGAAAATCGGATAGAGCTTTACTTGTTTCATATGTGTACCAAAAATCAGCTAATTCCATGTGGTGGAACGTTCTCATATCGCCGCCTGAATGTGGTTGTAAATTGAAAGAAAAGGGGAAATGAGTAACAACCTTGTCTGAAACCCTATTATATAGCTTATTATATACAAACTTTTATATTGAATATCAGAGCGGATATTTTCATGACAGTTTTATGATGTGTAACGACTAAATAAACAGTATCGATATAAAGATTTACACTGAGGACACCCTGATACATGAATACTGTTCTATCTCAAGTTGTCCTCTTCTGAATTTTCTGATCGTGTGGCCTTGTACATTTATCCGTATCTTCTTGTCTTTGTCTATACGTTTACGGAATCATTGACTCGACGCTAGCTATTCTTGTCTCACTTTCCTTGTTTTATTGTCCCATCTCCAAAGCGTTGTGGCTCTGTCAGGGTTGGGACCCTGACTTGTCTCACTTTCTTTGTGCCTGCCGACCACGCCACATCGAATAGATAGATTATCCATATGAAATACTTTATTTTGTTCTAAGTAATCAATCAATTCTGCGCTTCTTGGAGGTATTGAATGTGATTTATTATATTGTCTTGTTATTTTGTGTAATTAGTTGTTCGTTATTTATCACACATTTTCGCATAATTGTACCAAACTACTAAGTATTAGCTGTTTACAGCAATCATCGGTGGCTTGCTATTTTGTTACTTTATCGACGCTTCATAAACCAATCGTTATTGTTTCAAGATGGAGGGTAAATGTGTTGGAGAAGGGTGTCAAGTATACTTCAAGAAACGTAGTGGCAATAAGAACAGAAGTGCACGCAATGTAAATAGTCCACAATATAAATGGCTCCTAGATACGCTGGTGCAACAAGGATTGATGTCAGCAAAGGAACAAGCACTTATTTGCCAGAAGTGCTACATGAAGTATCTTCGGAACAAAAATCAGCCTGAACCTGAACCCGAGCAGAACCAGGAAATAGAGGAAGAAGACGACTCCCCGTCCCATATCCTGCCGTTGCTGACCCTTCATGATCTTTTGAATGGATCATCTTCACACAAAAAATGCTGTCTCTGTCTTGTTACCTTTGCAAGAAATGGAACAAAATCATCAGTCTTACCAAAACGTGCAAGACATCACCTGATCTATTCACACAAACTGTGGTGTCCCACCTCATCCCGCGTCTGCTCCATTCACCTTATTGGTAACGACTTAGATCCGTCTACAGAGGTTGTCCTTGATGGTAGAGGTTCCTTGGAATCTCAGTTACCATCAAAATCGTCCGAAATCATTAATGACCTCCTAGAGGTGTCGCACGTCCTTTCACAGAACCAGTCTGCGTTTACAATAAGCTTTTCTTCTCTTGATGACTCGGCATGCATGGCCTGGACAGGTTGGTCCAAAGATCAGTTCCTCGAAATCCACTCGCACTGTTCCCCATATCTTTCATCTGGTATATATACCAAGACTACACACGATGCTCTATTACTGTTCTGGGTAAAACTGAAAACCGACATTTCCTGGAGTCAGTGTTCTTCTCTTTTTGGAATTTCCAAGTCAAGTGTGTCCAAAACTTTCCACTCCATAGTACAGGCATTAGACACATCGATAGTCCCACAATTTCTAGGTCCGGATCACTTGACAAGAGAACAGTTGCTCGGGCACAATACTGTCTTTTCAGAAGCATTTTTTGGAGATAAAGCCACTGCCATATTAGATGGCACCTATATTTATATCCAGAAAAGCTCCGACCACAAGCTCCAGAGAATGTCCTACTGTGGCCAGAAGAAGAGAAACTATCTCAAATTCATGAGCATCGCCTTACCAGATGGCTACATTCTGGACACAGTAGGACCATTCACTGGCAGCGAAAATGATGCTACAATTACAAAAAAAGTCATGGACAAGCTAGTTACTTGGCTACAACCAGACGACAACGTTGTCGTTGACCGAGGTTTTAGAGATGTCCTACCAGTTCTCGAAGCCTCTGGCCTCAATGCTAGCATGCCGTCATACCTGAAACCCGGTCAAAGTCAACATTCTGACGTCCAAGCAAATCTTGACAGAACTATCACCAAATCGAGGTGGATTGTGGAATCCTATCATGGTCGTCTGAAACACTGGACGTTCTTCCGAACGCAATTGGTGTCTAACAGCTTTATCAATGTCATCGAGGCTTTGCTTCGAACCGTCACAGCCTGTCTGAATGGTATTAGAGGACCGATCTACCAGAGATCTCCAGAGAGAGATGCCAAAGATAGGCTAATGGCTGAACGTATGAAGGACCGTTTGACAACACCGAATGGTTTAGCTCAGAGAGTCAAGACAGATCCGGATCTATCTAGACGGGCAAGGTCCGAGTTTGTCAAGATGGATGCATCTTCCGTACTGTTTCCCCGTCTCGATCTTGATTACTTGAGAACCATTACGTGTGGAACGTATCAGATATCTCTGGCTCCTGGTTACATCGCCGAACATTTAAGTGATGACGGAGACTATGAGGTGTGGCTTTACCAGCACTCCCCAGACCTTCTCCGATGTCAAATACATTCTCGACACAAAAGCCAAACGAAATATAACGTTTGGATACGGTTCACCGTTTCACCCGATGTTGAGGCCCCAATAAAGGACTACTACTGCCAGTGCCCAGTTGGAGAGAGAACGATGGGAATGTGTGCGCACATCTCCAGTATCTTGTACTACCTTGGGTATTACAGGACGCTGGAAAACCCTCGACCATTACAACCACAGGTAAAGAAATTCCGACAAAACTTGAAATAGTTTTCCATGCGGCAACGGAGTGCATATGTCGAAAGTATGTTTGGGGCTCGATATGAAAGATCCCCGTTACCATGTGACTAACCAAACTTATAAATATAGGTATTATACAATCGCCCGTAGCTATGAACACTCCCGTAAATGCGAAAACCAACCAAAATCATAAGGAACACGTTTTGTTTGTTGTTCTGTCTATTTGTCAGCCAATGTCTTCAACCACGGGGACTTGTGAAGTAGCCATCTTGGATTTTTTTTATGAAAAAGTGTTTCTCTCACTTTTTTTCATATCTGTGTACATATTCTCAACATACCGAGCAAATACTCTCGTTTTTTTGTTAATTATCTAAAGAAAGTCGAAAATCGGCAATTCAACCATAGGCTAATTCAACCCAACATTTGAAAATGTTCCACCACTTACATTTTGATGATTTTTCCTCTCATCAATAGCATATTACGTACAGTTTAATAGGATACAAATTGGTCTGCATCCAACGCCCATAAAAGGATGTATTCTCTAAAAAAAACACAGTTTTTGTGTCTAAAACGTTATCATCGAAAATGGCATTTTTGAGATTGTTTCTTCCATAAAACAGCCAAATGGCGCGATGGAAACATGATTTTTTGTCACAATTATGCCATGAGTGTATTCTTTACGGTGACCATCATTTGATTAGATTTTCATTAATATTTTACATAACATGCACATTTTATCAACACTTAAACAGCTTCTGAAAGGTACAACTTTGAGGAGCCATAAAAAACAAACCAAGTGACCTAAATCTTTATACTTGATAGATTTGTGACCATAACGGCATGAGCAATGCACCACCAACAGGAAATTTGAATCAGAGAAGGGGCCGTTTTGGAAACCGGCCCTTTGTTAAACTCCTAGAAATTCTACCTAACGAAATCTTAACAGTCAATGCAGCCACAAATCCCCTTATTGATTCCTATATGAAGGTAGAAAAAGAATGTAATTTATTTTCAGATTTAATATCATTGCTATTTATTGCAGTGTTCTCGACGGGACAGAAATGTTTAGCATGTACGAACATTTCACGTCCGTGGTTTTGTGACAACTACATCCACTGTGAGGAAGGAGAGGTATATACTTACTCTACATCACAATCCTTACAGTGTAATATAACGAGTAATCTGGTAGATGTGTACCTCAATAGCCTACGTAAAATATTTTTGCTTTTGTCATTTAAGCAAAAGCGGAGCTGTTTGACAAACATCAATTACTCGACAAACAATACATATTTAACAAACATTAATTTACAGGTATGTGACATTCAGGATTTTAAACTTGATCTATTTTCAGCCGGGTTTGTGTGTGTTTTTTTCACGCATTACTTTTTGTACAAATATTTTGTCAGTACTATTTTTATGATGGTTTTAAGCCTCATACAATGATCGACATATGAAATTCGGCGTAAGTTTTTATTTGCATTTTAAAGAAAATCCATGTCTAGAGTGTTCCGTTTAACATAAACATAAATAGATAGAGTAAAAAAAGGAAAAAATTAAAAAAAAAAATTATAATGTTACAAATGTTTCGACTTACAGTAACTGTGTCAAAACATATACCAACAACACGGTTACAAGCTCTGGGTACAACACCTCATTAATTTTATCACAAGTATCAAGTTCATCTGTCAGATACTACGGGGAGAGAATGAAAATCAGTTTTAGTCTTGCAAGTTTAGGAAGTCCAAAAAAAACAGATATAATAATTCTATTTTATATTAAAAATAAGCCCAATGTAAATGTATACCATACGAGGGAAATTGGAAATTTACCTATGTGCAGTTTCATTGGCAAAGGTTTTGATAACATTAAGGGTTTTGTATTTTGTTTTCATTTCCCTGTGTATCTGTGGTAATATTAGCCTCTTCATCAACCCATGTAACTAACCACACCTCGTATAAGTGGTCGTTTTCAGAGTTATTGTTTGTAAATGTAGCTTTGAAAAAATATTGTATAGTTTCATGATATTTATAGTACAACTGATCTTTTCTGCAATTTTTTAACTATTAATAGTTTGTACTTTTTGAGCTACAACCTACCTATTTTAGGAACTCTCTGAGTCGTTAATGATGTTACATATTACCTTGGGAACTAAAACTATAAAATGAAACGATATCAGCGATACATGAAGAACTGTATGAAATAGACACGATTAAGTTCATTGCATTGTTTCACAGATCTGCCATATCCGGAAAATATCAACACGGAACGGCCATGTCCAATACACATCTGGCTGTATCAGCGACAGGGTAGGTTTTCCTCGTAGAATATTTTTAATAGAAACTATTAACGATTGGGAGAAATAGTGATATAAGATTCCAATGTTTGTTTTTGTATTCCTGATCAGAGGGACGTTTCTGTTGGATGTAACTGAGCCATCCTGTTTAATCGACATTTCTATCATTGTAAGCTGCTCTACCATTGTTCCAAACCCTGCTTTTGAGTAGGCTTATCATGAAAGTTTATGCTTTTCTTAATTCTGAAATCGTTCATTATGTACTTCATGAATCAATGGGTTTTTTTTTATTCTCTTCCATATAACAATTCATTCGAATGTTGTATGATACTGCTTCGACAACGTGTTTACCCGTTCGAATCCTGATTTAGACTGCTTGCTTAAGTATTGTTCTAATGACTTAAATGTATTAATGTTTTTTCCTGTTAGAATTAGTTAAGATGGGTTGACTATTGTGTATTTGTTTGTTGTTTTAATATTGTTTTAGATAAGACCGTTTTAATATTGGTGTTTGATAATGTTTAAATGCTGTTAAAGACTGTTTACATCTTGTTTTTGACTTGCTGATAACTGTATTTTAACCGTTTGAATGTTGTAATGGATAGTTTGAGTACTGTTGATATTTGTTATTGGTTGTTTAAATGTTGTAATGGACAGTTTGAGTACTGTAGATGGCTGTTATTGGTCGTTTGAAGGTTATTTTAGGCTCTCTAAATGATTTTTAAGCTGTAATTATTTACTTAGTTTTGCAGGTTTATTAAGCAATTATGTGTCTCGGCAGAGTTGTGCAGTAGACGGTTCGCTGCATGGGTCTTTCGGCACTCCCTACGGCCATGTCACGTGCGTCGAGTGTTGCAATGGTGATTTCTGTAACAACAAAGGGTGTGGAGATCCAGGTATTTAGAAAAACTAACGTGAAGAAAAAAACGTCAAATTTAAATTCGTTGTATTTCTTTTCTTACTAAATTAATGAAACCCTAAATGAAACGGTTTATCACGTTAAACCCTGTTATTGGTATCCTTTCATCCATTACATACACACTATTAGGAGAATATGTTTAATAATCATAATAGAACTGTAATTGATTGTAAGTTCAAATTGTTTAAACTGTGACTTCACAACTAAAACAACTTCATAGCGTGGACTCCCAACTGTATTGTGACGTCACAAAAGAAAACATCTTTAGTAAAGAATATATTTTAAAATCAGCCAGAAAAAAAAAAGTTGTCTTTAACTATATTTGCAATAAACTTATCAATCTGTTAATGTAATAAACATAATGTTACATTTCTATATGATATTTATGAAACTCGTCACGAATTGATCATTTTAGCTCTCAGAAGTCTAGCTAAAAACCTTTTTCAAAACTGGAAATTCTTTAGAGATCCTCTTAATGACCGTTGGAAAGAAATCATTGTTTGGAAGATAAAATTTCTCTGTTTAGATAAATTAACAAATACAGCAAACATGCTTCACTTTATTTACAATTTCAAATAATAATAAATCGAACTTTATGATGAAACAGTAAAAATGTATTTTCAAAAACACACAAAAATATTATGTCAAAAATACTTTTTGATTGAAAGTTGACTATTTGGATTTCAAAAATATTAGTACAGTTAGAGGCAGGATAGAATTCCGAGTGGTAATTTTCTGTTGGATGTTGCTATGTACGATCATGAATTTGCACTATATAATCAATTATCGTCAAAATTGGAAAGGTTTGTTTCTCTAGAGTACAATAAGGTAACAATATATAGTGTCTAGCGCTGTAAAGAACAGTTACGCAACAGAGGAAGAATACAATTAGATGCGTTGGTTTTGAAAAAAAAGTAACGGTAAAATCTAATTACAGGACCTCCAGGACGTGACATGCGCGGGCCTTTGTGTTTCCGGTGTGACAATATGACATCTTCAGTCAATTGTCGGACGCTCACCTCCTGTAGCTCCGACCAGGTGATGTATCATTTATATATTATCTGGGACATCTTGCTATAACAATTTAACGTTTGCAACTAGTTTCTAATACACATGTATACATTTTTTTCCATAAAACTTTGGGGAGGTGGGTCTCACTTAACATTATATGACCTACACTATTACAGCGTAACATACTTTTAAGTGAATTCTTAGTGGTATTTTAGTTGTACTGAACACATTTGGTGCGGCGCAGTGTTGGGGATTTCCGCTTTCCTTAACAGTTAATGAGTTGTGTTTGCCATACAAGCCAAATGGACACTCAGCTCTTATATTGACAAAATGGCTTACTAGAAGGGTACTAGTACCCTATGATTTTATATGGAAAGAATATAACCAATCTGTGCATTCAGCTTGATAATAATCGTTTATCAGGATTCAAATATTTGATTTGGGTTGTTATGTGCAAAGACCTACGTCCTACCTAGCAAAGAAGGTAAAAATCGAAAAATGTATATATTATTTAAATAGCAACTTGAAACGCATCAAAGAATTTTGAATCTTTGCCACATTCAACTTTATATTTATACAAAGAAATTTATTTTCATGCGTTTCTTAATTCTGCAAAAATGTTTTAGCTAAACGTTAAACAGGAAACCCGATTAAGCCTTCGAAAGAAAAAATAAAGTCTCTCAAAATAGACTTAAGCCAGAGAGGTGGGAACATATACATGTACTACACTGCCGTCTCGAAAATCTCTCTAATTAAGTGTGATAAATCACGATTTGTAAAAGGCAAATCTATCAAATAATTAGACATAGGAACGTTGATGCACAACCAAACAATCCGTATAGCTACTATAACACTCTTAGATGACCAATAATTACATCACATAATGATAAATAACGAGGTCAACTGGTGTCAAAAAGTTTAGCTTTTTGTATAAATGTTGTTGTTTTTTAAATTAAATATCCCGCAGGAAAAATATTTCTCTGTTCCAACACTATTTCTTGCCTCTGAACCCTTTGAAAATTAATGGAATGATCAGGTCCCTTCTGTAACACCGATCATCATTCTCATACCAAACCAGCAATATTTTCTCTTTATTCGTTTTTTTCTACCCCTGTCCTCAAAATGATAGTAGCACTTAAAAGAAATGTCTCGAACTTGCATTCTCGAACAGTTAATACCAATTAAGCAGTCAATAATGTAATTTGTAGTAAGTATAACAAGGATCACTCTATGATGGCCAAAAATAACATAACATAGTGATGAATAACGAAGAAAACTTTAGGTATGCTGTTTACTCTTAAAAGTGAATTTTACTTACACTATTACAAGGGGAAAACAAACAATTTTTATTTGACTCTAAACCCTTTAAAAATAAATCGAATGAGCAGATCTTCCTCTCTAACATCTATCACGTCTCTCGCTCTACAACCAGCAATATTCATATATTTATTCGAGTTTTAGTAATAAGTATGGCCATTGTAAAGTGGTTGACAATCACTCTTGAATTCTCAGTGGTGACCAGAATCCTATGAAACAAATGTTGTCTCTGTAATCACATTTCAACGTCTTGTGTTGCAGGTTTGCAGCATCAACAAATCAATGGTTGATGGTAGCTCTGTCTTCACAAGTGGATGTGTCCTGAAAACGGTAAGATCAAATGTTTACTTCAGCGTTTACACAAAGAAAACATATTGCCGTACATGAGTGTGATCACATCTAATGTTTATATGTTAATATTGTATTGGTGAGAACGGTATAACATTTATACAAGCAATGATCCAATACAAAATCAGAACCCACTAGTTTTCAGTAATATATTAATGTAAAATAGTGATGCGAATCTTATATGTAAATGTCATCTTGACAGAAACTATTATAGTCTAGCGACGTTTCGATCCACTCAATTTACTATTTTATTTTTCAATCGGTACAAAAAAACAGACAAACGGAAGCGAGCAATCGAAATGAAAACGGAGGAAAATCATGCACGACAATAACGCTTATCCTGCACCGTATGTGGCACCGCGACATATGTTGTGACATAGTGGGACATTTTATTACGTTTATGTTGTTAATCATAATCTGAAATGTTTTACTGATGTTCGCACAACCTTTTATGTGAATGCTATAATAGGATCAGAACCCATTGATTGTCGTTAATGATGTACTATTAACCGATAAAATTTATCCTGGTTATATTTTAGTACCGAAAAATATTGAGCTCTTCTAAGGTACCTGAGTGATATCAAATTCTAGATAGTTTGCAACGCGTTTGTAAGTACAGATAACCCGATTAAGTCATCTATATGCAATTTGACTATAATGTAATTATACATATAAATCTACCTACAATTTATATGATTACTGTATATGTACTTCTCGACCACCTGAGACGAAGAAAAATCGTTGTATGGTGTTCTTTCAGTTCTATACAGTATTCAGCTATTTTTAAGCCTAAGCATCAAGAAAATGATGACAGTCGAACAAAAATGGTGGTGCGAATCTTATAATTAAATTTTCTCTTGACAGAACTATCATCGTCTAGCTACGGTCCGGTACCATCAAGTAACTGTTTTTTTCAATAGATACAAAAATAAAACAGGAAACGAGCAATCGAAATAAAAACGGAGGCACAATCATGCATACATGCCATTGACGCATATCCTGCACCGTATGTGGCACCGCGATGCATAGTGTAGCGACATAATTGGAAATTATATTATGTGCTGTTAATCATAATCTGAAATGTTTTACTAGTGTATGCACAACCTTTAATGTAAATGCTATAATTTGTTTTTATTTTTCCTCAGACGTGTCCACAACCCCAATACTTGTTAGGGAGGGACGCTGCTTCACGTGAGCAGGACCAGCCGGCCAGTCTCTGCCATTCCTGCTGTTCTAACGACTACTGTAACACGGAATGTCAACGAAGTTTTTGAAATGTTTATTTTCTTTCTGCATCATATACATGATATACATTGCCTTAATAAGGTGCATACATTGTATTACAATATAGAAATTCATTTGTTTTGCTTCTTCATTTTCAACAAGATACAAGTATTCTGCTCTTGTTTGGTAAATTCTTACAATTTTGTTAAGCTCTAAAGGGTTTTCATACCTACATGTATCATTGTATTTGGTTGGACTGTTGGTATCCATTTATACGGCATGTTCCGTTTGAAGAGAGAATACAGATTTGCTAGTTCGTTCCAATTTATAACCTTGACCCATTTTCTATATAGGTTACAGATATCCATCATCAGTTTTGTTTTCTTGGTGAAAGCTTTTTTCGGTTCCTCTTTTTTTATATTTGCATCTTGTTGACCAAGACATTTCTTGAAAAAGCTTATTTCGCAAGGAGATTTGATTTACCTCGAGGTATTAAGCAGGAGGCGTGTGGGGTTATGTTGTCGTTTTCTATGAACGTCATCTTAATGTAGTGGAGAATTATCCTTTAATTTTCCTGTACCTTGTGACTTTGTCTTTCTGATCATTACTGTAGAAATCCATCCTGTGTATACAATAACATGTCATAGTGCCTGTACGTCATGTAGACTACCGACACTGTAGAAATCCATCATGTGTATACAATAGTAGACTACTATAGAAATCCATCATGTGTATACAATAACATGTCATAGTGTTTGTACGTCATGTAGACTACTGTAGAAATCCATCCTGTGTGATAAGAAATGATGAAGTATCCCTATTAGATGTTTTGAAATCTATTAAATCACCTACAGCAGATACATATTTATACAATTGAAGGCATCGATTCATACCTGAGAAATGAACTTGTTCTCATTTAATTGTTGATATCTGTTGTTTTGATTCTAGAGTTAGTTACCTGTTATAAGTATACTCCGTATGAATAAATGTAACGTTTTCCACCCCGTCGCCGTATTTCTGGCCAACGTGTTGTGGTGAACAAACACTTTATGGGAGAAACAGCGAAACAGAGCAGGTTACATAAATTCAGGTTCGCTCCTGTCCAGTATCTTGGAAGTTGAAAGAAGTTGACAAAAACTTGAATACAAATACTTAGTTCATTTAATATTAAATAATGGATAGTATTATTTACAATATAATGTGATAATCATTACCGCTATATCATGATATAAACACTATTGACGGTATTTTGGGAGAAATCTAGTCTGGAATTTCGGAATCAGTAACTTATTCTTAGGTCGAGTTGCTTCCCTTGTATCGTGAATTATAATCAGCTTCACTATACATAGTATGTAATCATTCTTGATTATGATTAGTTATGTAGCTGCGAAGTTAGTTTTCCTTCTTGGGTCATATCGTCTGCTTTTGGGAGTATCCCATAATGCATCACGCCCATTACAGTTGCGAAGGTAAACAAATATCTTCATCTACCGTAACTTGAGTAAAGTTACCTCAAATACACAAAAACATCAGCTATGGTAATTATTGCACTACTATGAAATGCCTACCCATCGCTGGAGTGGTCGAACGAGTCGGTTGCTACTGAATCCGCCGGCTTTTATACTTTCTGCCTGGGTTGCATCAACCAATCAGCATCGAGCAATGACGTCACTTTTGAAGTCCGCCAAAGTGTAAACAATCGCGGAATTCTCTCCTGGAGTTTCGCGGAATAATGATGTTTCCGACAGTTAAACATGTACAAAACCATAATACATCGCTTATGGAAGCTACGAAGGATCTAGGCATACTTCTTTTACATTTAAAGGTAAGCTAATGGGTCTGAAATCGTGTATGAATCGAAGTTGACGAATCTCGCCATTTTGAACGGAATGTTCGAAATTTCTCTTACAAATATGTATTTACGTCAAACCAACTCATGTCTTATAACATGGGTGAAATCTACATATCAGTAGATAGTAAATTCGTAACATAAAGTCAATGACTGTTTAATGTCTGTGGTCTGTGTTAAGATGATGTATCCAGTTACTATATACACGAGAACCGTATGTAGTGGAACATCTGTTTAGTATACGGACTCATTAAATGTCTCTTAATACCAATTAATCTAAGGTAATGACTTCTTTCTGGATGGTCCTTAATTGATCTTTAAAATGAATTAACAACACAAACAATTACATTTCATCAAAGTGCGTTCCTTTTAATTAATTCTTTGTTGTCAATTTTTTTTTTAATTCTCCTAAAATCTTCTGGTGTAAATGAACCCTTGCATAATAGTTGATCTGTACATATCTCTTATACCTCACACAGTCTCACACATTCCTCAGCTTTTGTACTTCACACAGCCAGTAGTCAACGTTCCATCTATTCACCTCAGCACACATTTGAAAACGCAGTGATTCTTTATGCATTTAAACAATTTGAAAACAGGACATTATCATAAGTCAAGCCCCCTATCCAAAAGCGAAATGTTCTTATTATGTGTTTGTTGGAATATTTTATCAACTTTGAATTATTTATTTGTTTGCTGAAATATTGCATTGTTTCATCCTTATAACTTTAGAAAAAAGCAGAATGAGAGGAAGATGCAGTTATTTTTCTTTTAATTTGAAAATCTTTATCAGATCTAGACATTTCACTTTGTGGGGTTGTATTGGCAGTTGACAATCCCAGACTGACATCAGTCAATTTCATATTCCGATATAAAATGACAGTTACTTGTATTCAAACAGATTTGGAAGGTCAATGCAGGTTTTATAGTACAATTGAACCACTCAATTTGTACATTCGAATATGAACTCAAAAGGGTTTAATCATTTCAATTATGAAAAAATATATTTATTTTTAGAGGGGGCTCAGAAGTATGATACTGGTGTAGACTATATACACATAGAAACGTTTTATTAGAAAAACCTTTTCAACATTTGCTTGCAAAAATACATTCAAACCATTTCCTTGTATACTTCATGCAAATCACAAAAACATTAACTAAAACTGCAACCCATGCATGTTTTCAAATGAAAAAACATTACACTTTTACACTTGTTTTTGTTTTTTAGCAACATCTGGACAAAAGTGAAATTTTTCTTAAACATTAACCATTACAGAAACTGACCCAAGCTGCATGGCCAGTGATGCTCAATCTAAGGTCTTAAAGAAAGTTCATGTTGACCGGTCAAGCTATCGTTTGTTAGACAAGTGACTACATCTTTACAGATAGTACTCAAACAAATATCAAATCAACCAATTTAATCTTTAAAAAAACACCAAACAAACAAAAAACACTTCATTGCATTTTGTTTTAGCAATATTTATCTTATAACATATATACAATCTTACAGGAATATTCCTTCCAACAGCATCTTTAAAACTCGTATTTACAATCGCAAACGTAAACAGGCCAAGCCAGACCAGGGTGAACAAGAGTACACACTCATGTCTCATGTCATCTTGTTACAAACATATTAACCCATAAGGTATACACAATTCTAAAACATTTGACCTTGTTGTATTACATAGGGCCCACTGCCCTACAGAATTATAAAACATTTGACTTTGTTGTATTACCTAGGGCCCACTGCCTGTCTTTGATAAAATATTTGTACTGCAGTATTCTACATGATTATTGATAGATGTATACTTCAGTGTTATTTATCAACTTTTTGTGATAATGGCTTCCCTGTGAGGAATTTGTATAATTGTGCATTTATATCAGAATATATTTGTGCTAGGCATTTGAATTTATGATTGACTCCCTCATCAAACACCCCACCCCAAACAGTATGTTACAAAACGTAGTTTATTATACAAAACAGTATTATATTTGATTTAAAATACATGTAAATATGAAGTTCCCATTTTAAACATTTCAAACTTTCTTATTGTCAAAAGTTTCCTTATCCCAGATTCTAAATATGATGGTTTAAAAATCATTTTTTTACAATAATGTATTATCAAAAGCTACTGTTCAGCTGAAATGGTTCTTGTAATTACAAGCCCCTTGGTATGACCTTAATATGACATGACCTTGACACAGGATGACCTTAACATGACCTTTACAGGAGTACATGTAACCTGGTAAGCCCTGGTCTACCTCAGTAAGACACATGTGTACCACATTTTCAAAACACATTTATTTTACACGTCCAACATATTCACACATCTTACGGTTTCTTTGGTTACAATCTCTAAACCCACTTCTTTAAATTTATGTTCTGGTTTTCAAGGGATGATATTGTTCACAAATATCTTTGCTATATCCCACGTCAAACACAAAATAACAATCATATTGTTAATTATCTTATAAACATTTCAACTATCTGATAGATCATGTCAGCCCCTCTCTCTCCCACCTCTAATTTCCACCATGCTGACCAACATATTGAGCACACTATATCTAATGCCCGAAAGTTTGACCATTGAAAATTCAACATAAAAAGAAATACAGCTGATATTAATGTTAACATGTAGTTCAAAATTGCTTAGGTTCATAATGTCCAACTACAGTGAATCCATGCAGTCACCATCAAACATGACATTTCACACAGTAACTACACGACTAAAAATTACTTCAAGACTCTCTCGCAAAAAAAACCCAACCACCTGATCTATCCCTTTTTCCTGATTATAACAAATGATATCACGCCATTCCATCAGCTTATCAAGAAAAAACATTTCCGTAAAATTATTTTTTTCGTACAGTTTTACCTTCCTCAATGTACATCAATACACAATGAATTATTGGTGTCAGCCGTCAAACTGAATGAAGAAGGGTACTATCGGGGCAGAACAATGTATACCCATCCCGTGTACAGAGTGTAGCGTCTACTTAGACTCATTGTACAACAACGGATCCTTCTGATGCATTCTTGTAGAAAATGTATGAAAATATTGAATTATAACAAGTAACAATGTCGGTACTGGATATTTCTGGGACACGGTGATTTACTAGCTGAATATATTTATGTCACATGACCTTTACTTGTACAGTTGTTACCTCCCTTCGCTTATAATGTAATTCATGTTTAACCATCAAAACTAGAGAGCTTATTTAACAAGCACATTCAGCCTTACTTTAAAATCATCCCGTCTTTGTATAATTACTGTATTGCCAAAGTTTGATCAAAATTGAGTTATATATTTCATGAACTTGTTGTGCAGAAACTGTTGATAAATCAAAGCACAGTATGCTATGCATGGATTTTATTCAACATCAAACTTAATCTTTGTATATTGTATGTGCAAGTTTCATCAAAATCTATTCATATTTAAGCAAGTTACCATGAAGCTATAGTGAAGACAGACTGACGGATGAACAGACGCTTCTCATATCAAAATACATCTAGTCAAAACCATCAATAAAAACATGTATACATTGAATTAATGCTCCCGGGTAGGACTCGAACAATGAACACTTCCTGAATATGAAGGGGAAAAAAGCTCAATACTTTCTGAAGACTGTACATTTATTATATTAACAGGATCAACACATTTTTCACAGATCTATGAACAAAGGCGCTTTTTCCTGAATCAGTAATTCAACTTTCATTTTCTATTTTTATCTTGAAAATGTTTAAGATAATGTTTTACTGGTAAGAAACTTAAGTTGTAAATAAACTTTTGTAGGTAGCTTTGCTTATAAAAAAAATTCTTTGGGATTGGGGTTAGGAGGTTTGGGCAACTCATTGTTCATGAAAAAAAGTTGGTTTACAAACTAAAATCAATCAGATCAGTAAAAAAAATATTGTTTAAAAACAAACGGGCAACAAGTTTAAACATGGTTTTACAGATGGTTTTACACATGGTTTTTATCAGTAAATTTCCCTTCAGAAGGCCCCGAGCTCAACACTTCAGGAGCTTAACACTTAATGAGGCTGTGAGCTCAATACCAACGGGAGTCCTTGCAGATCACCACAATGACATTAACTGTCCCTACAGGGCCCAACCCTTTAGGAGCTATACAGAGCCCAGTCTGAAGGCCATGAGCACAACACTACCATAGAAAACGTCCTTTAGATACAACAGTCCTGGTTCCCAATGAACGAACGAAACATCTCAAGTTTAATTTGACAAGGTAAAAAATAGTACTCATATGATATGAAGTGGACACATATAAATAAAATAATTCTACATTACTTCTTGAAAATAAGAACTGTTATTTCTGTTGCTTTCCTGTTCATATTTTATTACCTCTGTTTTTTGTCTACTTTATCAATTTCTCGTCACTTAATTGTGAACATGATCAAATAAAAACTCTAATTTATTTAGATGAAAAGCCAACATAATATAATATGACATTGTTAAAAGCTTTCAGCTTAATAAAATATTACCATAAATTAATGCTATTATATTTCTTTACATGAGATAATTATGATATACTTAATCCTACAGTTGTAATGTGCTTTAACATACAGACTTCAGTTGAACATACAAAATACTGTTGATTACTTGTTTTCATTGATATTTCTTGTCATGAATCGAACAATTAACTTAAATATCACGTGGATGATAGTATAAAGTAAGACATGCATGCTGATGGTAACATAAATACAGAAGGCTGGTTCACAGAATCAAGTACGTAAAAAAGAGTAATATTATTGATAAAGGTATAGAAAGTTTTACACAAAAACGTAAATAATGCCACAGGCTTACTGAATCTAGGGATATTTGGATCAGAAATTTGATATCTTATCCCTTTGTTATTTGGAATTTGGATTTTGTTATAATGATTCTGATCTACTTCACATACTTTCCCATATTCTGCATCCAATTTCTACTCTTTACAGTAGAACAAATCAAATTTAATCTTGATTCCTTCTGAAGGGTGATCATTTTAAATTCTGCAATCATGCTAATTTTCCCAAGTTGCTAACGCCCAGGACCTTTATAAGATGGCATACATTGTGTATGATCATAAGTGAAGACGTCAAAACATGAACCAAATGTACGAGCAGTATTTGTATATTTTCAAATGATGGGGGGAAAAAAGGAAACAAAAATTAATAATTTTTCAAGCTTACAAGTACTGAACAACTAGCTGTTTATTATGGTTTACTTCCCTTTCATTAGCATCCAGACCATTCTATCAGTGTCATTTCCAGTCCTTAATATTTGATATTGAGACTTTGATACTTCCGTACCATATGGTGAGTTTCTGTCTATGATGTTCGCCATTTCTTTCATTTTTGTAGATTTTTCCATCTACATGTGTGACATTTTGACTGATGAACAAATATTTGAGCATATCAGACAAAATCACATCTCGCTATTGGAAATGAAATCCTCGGCTCTGTCAGCGACATTAAACTTATCTCAAATATTCAAAATACCTGACGAAAGTGAATAGAAGCTCGATCATCACCTGACCACATGTCAGCCTCTAAGAAAATCATTCATCAGAAAAATAGTAATAAATTATCTACACTCTTAAATATGTTTTAATTATCATTCTTGATATAAATCATGGTGTAATGATGTCTGACCAATTAAAAAACCTATGAAAGAATGATATAGAGTCTCCATCATCTTCACTGCCTCGACTATAATCAATCCTGTTCCTCACTGAAGCTCCTTCCATTGGTCGGAACGTCGTGCTGTGATGGACACTTGACCGTCCTCCTCTCCATGGTTCGCCCAATTGATGCATCGACTCTTAGTAATTGGCCGGTATATCTGAAGCCTCACCAACTTTGGTGATTGACAGCTCCAATACCCCACACTGCCTCCCTCTAAGTTGAACTAGTCAACATTAAGTTATTCAAGTCATCAAATACAGTAGAAATCAGGATGTCTTTAACGACGGTTCAAATCCTGAAAACAAAATTGACAACGATTACTAGAATAACCATGATGTGAAAAATTCTGGAAGACTACAAGATTATCTCCCCTCAAATGTATTAAGTGGGTATTTTCTAAAAGAACATGTCGCCCTTAAAAAGCGGTAAGCTAACTCTTTGACTGCACTCTTATTAATTGGCTGGAATATCTGAAGCTCCATACATTTTGGCTTTTGACTACCTCATCTTGGTTGAACTATTTTCAGCATTTCCTCATTTATTTACAGCAACAAATACATGTTCAGCTTTTACAAGTCTTCATAAAACCAAAAATGACCTGTAACTAGCAGGCTTGTCCTTTAGTTAAACCCTATATGACCCCTCATTTGATTTTTTTTTTTAATAATTTGTCATGTGTGTGTTAGTTTAGGGCATACTCACTCCAGCAATTGTAATACAATGATGGAAATATAACACTGATGATAAGTACTGTTATATAAATTTTCCTACCTGACGGCGTGAGAACTAAGAACGTAAGTATGTCGGACAAAGACACCATGCCAACCACGTGCATGTCATTGTCTGTGATCACCAAACGGTGGATCTGTGGAGAGAAAGGTCAAGGTCAGATAAGGATTTAGACAAGCTGTTTTTGTTGAGTTATCTCCCTTAATTAACCATACATATATATATATATAATAAAATTATTCTCTTCAATAAACCATATATAACAAGTATTTTCCAGGGGTTTTTTTCTTTCTTAATGTGGACATATTTTGGAAAGGTGTTTTTAAGGAATTGTGTGTTTGGTTAAATTAAGATTTGCTGTAAAATATGCATTTGTTACTCAATTCATCTTACCTTTTTAAAAAGTCAACAAAAATTATTATTTTATATAATCTTTTTTTCTAAAACATAAATATGCCAAGTAATATTTCTATAAAGGACAAACAATACCATTCTGTAGAGATTTTATTTTTAGAATTATTGTATTGTATCTATAATGTTAAACTACTTACCTCTGCTCTGACAATCTTCTCCAGGACAGAATCTAGTGAGTCAGTCTCCTGACACGTCACAACTCCCTCAAACCAATTCTCCTACAAAAACAAACAGTTTGATTTTGTCAGGAACAGTTAAGCAGACTGAAATCTGTTAACTTAAAAATCACATGTACATTATATCCGAAGCCAGACGACAGAACTAAGTATGTCAGGAATACACTACATTAAAATATAGGAAAAACACATGCATTACGTGTTGGTATTATTGAATGTACGTACCTGTTCCCGATGCTGTAAAGCTTGTTCCACTGTTATGTCTAGGTTATTGTAAGACTTCTCCGCTGCCAGATTCTAAAATTACACATAAAATAGACAATGATTCTAAACCAATAACATCCACAATGTCGTGATGGAGAAAATCAGGGTGAGCAGAAATTGAGTTTTTCTTGTGTGTTGTGATAGAAAATGGAACAATATTGTTTTGATATCTCGATTTGTCATTCCCTCCAAGGATTCTCACTATTGGTATAACTACTTACAATGAAGCATCAAATGTTAACATATTTCAGTCCCCCACCCAAGAAGTATGAATCTACATTGTTATATTATATAGAAATCATCCTTCTTTCTCAGAGATGAACATTTTAATGATGTCAAACTTTGTGTATTGATCACTATTTTATTGGTGTAGCATCAAGCACTTCAAAGACACAGGCTTGCAATATTATTACTGGAAGTCAATGGTGACAAAAATGGAATATATATCGATACTGTCAAACATGAAATAGCAGTTGATAGATGGACAATAATATATTGGCAGACTTACGATGACGTCAAACTTGGCGTATATATTGACGACACGTTTGTTAGCGTCGAGGACAGGAAGTGCCGATATTCTGTGTTCCACAAACATGTTCAGGGCCTTGAACAGCGGTGTGTCTGTTGTTGCCTGGCAACAAAGTTAAAACATTTATACATACAAGTTTTTTTCAAAAATGTTTATAACTTCTTGATCCGTAACAAAACTGAAGTTGTACTATGAAGTTGTTATCATATACATAATAACAATACAGCCATGTGTCCACAACAAAAATGATAAAAGTATGTTAAAATGAAGATATCGCCATTTCACCAAACACACATGTCTAGCTTTTCTTCTGGGTTTGTATTTGCCATTGAAACTCTCTTCAATTAGAACTACAAGCTTTATTCTCATAAAAATCTGGCTCTTTTGAGAGATTGAATTAAAGCCGTTATCGGGTGTCCTACATTGTACAGGGATGTACGTTTACTCAATTTCACTCTATGACCAAATATTTTTGCATACTTTGCTCAATCAGTTCAGTTACATCTGAAGCTAGTGTCCTTATTAGCAACTGTAAGTTCACTCTGAAGAACAACTAGTAATTAAAAACTCTGAAGAACTCAATTGTTAACTAATGATATCTCAGAAAACTTCTTCTCACAAACAAACAAACAAAACATTCTGATCCTACTCACCGTGATAACATTGTTGTATGTTCCTATGGACAACTCCTTCAATGTTTTCTGCATATAGCTAGGCTTTGGTAGTTCATTGATCTGTCAGTGGATAAAAGTAGGTCATATTAATACAACCAAAGTTTAATACAACTTACTAAAATATATGATTTACCTTGAAAGGGTATTATCATAGGAAACAAAGTCATTATAAATGGATTGATGTTGCATGATATCTAAAAATGAATAATTTATGAACAGGAAAATAAACATTCCTTGTCTTTTTCAAATGAACTATATTTTCAGCGACGGCGCATAGCAGTGATTGTACTTTGTAGCGACATCACTGACCTGTCCGCTTTAAGAAAAACTGCTTCTATTTCAAAATGTGCCATCAGAAGAAATGTTTGTAAATGGAAGTAATGTATTTCCTTACACTACCACACACTTTAAGTACTCTATATACGTGGTCGCGTTCCTTTACTTACATAAAGATACAGAAATCGAAGAATCCGTTTGTGAGTGAGGATGTAGATTGCGTTGCCCGACGGTCTGTCGATGACTGGAAGTCTGTGTACATGTTTGTCGATCAATGTCTTGATAGCGTCAAACAAACTAGCATCCGGGTCAATGTACACAAACGGTTTCTGTTTGTCCTTCAGCTCCTCTACAGGAAACAACAGTTATTTGGAAATTATAATAAAAAAAATGAGAGAAAAAAAATGAAATATAACTTAAGAAAATCTTAGGAATATGAAACATTTTTAATTAAAGAAAGTAAGAACAACTTGGAATTATGATGAAGTAGAAGTACTAACATTTTAGGGGTCAAAATAGGGTCATAATGAAAAAAAGGCTGGTGTGTACTTAATAACAACAGATCTGATCTTGACAACATTATAACTAAACTTCTGTTGATAATTTGATTTATTATTTTTTTCATATCATTCCCGACAAGTGATTGGACAGGAGTGTATCACGTGTCCACCGATAAAAACTGATATTGACTTGGAGCGCGTACGTGATTTTTGTTGAAGGATTGGGTGTTTCTAAAAATAGAATTATGACGAATCTCCAAACGAACGCATCATCCCGTTTTCGTAGATTTTTGATGTGAATTTTTTTTCAGATTGCTAACATTACTCTTTTGAAAATAATAAAACAATTGTAGCCTTTGACTTCGGTCGATACCATGATTTATCGACCCGAGAAATCCAGGTATCGACCTCAGCCAAAGGCTATAATTGAATAGTATCATTTGTCCGTGTGTGATAGGGGATCATATAATCCCTTGAGAAAAGTATGCTTTTCTGATATTTCATAAAAAGCAAATAAATCCTCCTTAATGTTGATCAATTCCAAATTCCAAATTGATTTTGTACTTTGTTACAAGTTTAGCGATTGTTTACTAAAAGCACATGTGACCCAAAAAACAGCTGTAAATATTATTATGAATGGCTGTTTTTTCCCTCATGGGACTGCTTTAATGATTTACCAACTTGGTCAGAACTTACCCCGCCAAGTCTCTATCTTGTGCTCTTCAAGTTCATCCATTCGTGCCTGAAATCAAATAAAAATGCAGGTAAACTGTAAAGAATTCTATTATTATGATTGATTGATTTGTTTTTATTTGTTCACTACTGCTAATGTGTTATGATGATAG